CCGAGCTGTGCACTTAGAAATGGCTAAATGACAAATCTTATGTTTTGTGTATTTTACCACAAACACAGAAAAAGGGCCACAGGGTAAGTCGCTGAGTGGGGAAGCTGGCTGCGGGCACCATCTCGACAAGCTGACCTTGACACTAGGAAGCTGTCCTGGTAGCCCTGGGCGCTCGTTCACCAGCCGAAAGCGACTCCTGGCCCCCTATCCAGCAGGGGCCAGCGGGCGGACTTGCCCCGGCGGAGACCCCGCGCACTGGGCTCCCCCCGACGCTGACCCCAGGAAAGGTTCCCCGGGCCGGCGCACCTGCGCGGAGCACCTCGGAGGCGCCCAGGGTGGCTCTGGGCCCTGGGGACATTTAAATGGTGAGCCAATGCCGGCCCCACCCGTGCCCTCAAAGATTCCAGCCTTGGGGAGAGAGCAATATCAGGCCAGAAACAAATAATGACATAACTCGTTAATCGATTAACGTCTGTGGAAGGATGGGAAGAGCTGCCCGGCGTGGTAGGTGCTGGGGGTCCCTGCTCAGACCCCTTTCCCAGGACGGTGCCTTCGTCCCCCAGTGGCTAACGGCCATGGCCCCGTGTTCCCTACCTTTCTGGGGAAGAACCCACCTTGCCAGAACGTGCCCAGGAGGGTCCATGTCCCCTGGGGCAGCCTGCAGGCAGTGACGGCCGATAAAGGGTACAAAAACCGGGACCTTAGGCTTTCAGATGGGACGGCTCTAGGGTACCACTCTGGCCAGACGCCTGCGATCACGTCTGTCTCCCTCTTTCCCGGCCCCGTTCTGCTTCCCTCCTTTCTTTCCGGGCTTTTCCCGAGAGCTCCTCCCTGGATAAACCCCTCGCTCAGGAATCCCCAACTCGGGTTTGGCTTCCAGGGAACCTGACCTAAGACCCGAGGGAGCAAGTGATGGGAAAGGCGGGCTGGTTTGGGGTGGGCGTGGGCCGGGGAGGGCTCCGGGGCACGACAGCCCTAGCTAACCTCAGTGGGTGCCTCCTGGGTGCCAGGCCCTTCTCTCCCAAACCCCCGGCAGGTGTTAACGTCTTTAGTCCTATAGCCAATGACCTTGCAGTTGTGACTTTAATAGTCAATCAGGGTTAACTCATGTTCTGGTTGATTCCTGTCCACCCGGAATCCGTAAACGTGACCTTATTTGAAACAGGTCTTTGCAGATGTAATTAGTTAAGGTGAGGTCATACCGGCTTAGGGTGGGCTCTCATCCAAGGATGGCGTTCCTCTAAGAAGGGGGAAGTTTGACAGAGACAGGGAGGAGAGGCTGGGGGAAGTCAGAGGCAGAGACTGTGGTGATGCGGCCACAAGCCCAGGGACGCCCGGAGCCCCCAGAAGCTGGACAGACAGGGCGGGAAGTTTCCTCCCCTGGAGCCTCAGAGGGACACCTTGATTTGGACTTCTGGCCTCCAGACTGTGAGACCATAAATTCTTGTTGTTTTTAGCTGCCTGGTTGCAGTCATTTGTTAGGGTGGCCCCAGGACATTGACACCTCCCAGTAAAGAGTTTAGGGTGGGGAAGAAGAGCCTTCCAGGCAAAGAGACAGAATGTGCAAAAGCCCTGTGGCTGAGGAGATGGCGCCTTTGGGCCCCGAGGGAATGTCAGTGTGATGGACACAGGGGTGAGCACTGGGGCGTGGTGTGGGGGGCACAGAGTTGGCGACAGAAAGCAGGGCCTCTGCGGAAGAGTCAAGACGGCTGCAAGTTCTATGTTTTTTCCCCCTGGAATCTGCGCCGGTCTGGGTGGTTTGTGTGACCAACAGCATAAGTGATGTTCTGGAACTTTCCAGGGAGGTCATAAGAAGCCCTGGGCCCCAGGAAGCACCCAGCCTAGAAGCTCTGAGTTGCCATTAAGAATTACGAGTCGGCCGCCCCAGGTGACCCCATCTGCTGGCTGAGTCCTTCAACGCCACGAAAACAGAGGAACCGCCAAATTCCCGGCCCGCAGAATCGTGCGGTTTAATAAGCCTCTGGTTTGGGGACGGCAGGGCCAGGCCGTGATCCTGACCCTGACAGTAACTGCCACGGGAAGATTTTCAGCCAGGGGAGGCAGGACACTGTGTGCCCTGAGGTGTCCCCAGAGAAGCAGTCCTGGGGGCAAGGTGGCAGTGGGCATCCAGCTGACAAGCTGCTGCAGCCACCCGAGCCCGCGGGCAGGGGCCCCACAGTCGCTGGAGCCGCCGGATGGAGAGAGTCTGAGGCTCGGGAAGCGGTCGTCCTGGAGGGGAGGGCTGTGGGGTCCGCGGCCCGGGTCCTCCTGTGGCGCTGGGTTCCTTGCAGTATCCAGCTGTTCCATCACAGGCTAGGTCCCCTCCCCGCTGAGGACACCGCCCGGCGTGGGCACTCCTCTCCCTCGCCCCACTTTTTTTTTTTAGAAGCATTTAAGATTCAAATTATAAATCAATGTATTAGCGTTGAAGAACGACCCTGAGCTCAGGAGCCCCCTTTTTGGACGAGACACGAGCAAACCAGCACAGGCTGCACCCACGGGAGCTGGAATTCTTGGAGGGGCCCCGGACGGCCACCTTGAGAAACAAGGCGGGTCAGTGAGGGAGCGAGCGCCCTCGGAGACCCGCCACACCCAAATGCAGGCCCTCGCTCTGCATGACAGTGGCTCCCGGCACCGAGCCAGAAAATCGTCCCACCGGCACAAAAGATAAAAGGATTGGGATGTTAAGACTATAATTAAGTCTCTTAGAAGACGAAAGAGAACAATAACCAATACTTCTTGTTTACGGGGGCCAAGGACTTCACGCACGTCATCTCGATCCTCACACCAGGCCCATGAGGTGGGGACGCCCCCGAGGAGCTGAAGGCACAGAGAAGTCGCCTGCCTTGTCCAAGGTCACACAGCCTTGTGCGCTTGGTCACTAAGGAGGGCAGATGCGAGAAAGCAGAACGGAGGAGTCGTGCCCTAGGTGGCAGGCGGATTTTGAGACACCCACGCAGGCCCTCTGTCCTCCTTTATTTATTGGCTTCTCAGCGCCTGTGCTGTTATTCTGCCAACCCTAACCAATACCCCGTGCAGCCCGAATGCCCACAAACCTTTCCTTATGGCTTCCTTAGCTCCCAACCGTCTATTCTCAGCCTGCCCAGCCACGTCCCTTCTCTGCTTAGTCCCCAGGGCTCTGAGACAGGCCCCGTGATCTGACCTCTCTGACCTTGCCTCCTCCAGGCCCCATCTCAGGACTCCAGCCACACTGGCTTCCTGGAGGCTCCTCCAATGTACCAGGCCTGCTTGCAGCTCAGCATCTTTGCATTCGCTGTTCCCTCTGCTGGAAATGCTTTTCCCTGCATGTCTTTCTCCCTCAGCGCCGTCAAATCGGCTCAAATGTCACCCGCCCAGTGAGGGTTCTCTCTTCCCCTCCCAGCATCAGCACTACCCATCTTGCTGTATGTTTTGTGCTCCTCGTTTATTGTCATCTTTGTCACCATGACAAGGGCCCTGTGTGGCCAGGGATCTTCATTTTCCTCACTTGGGCATCCCGAGCTCTCAGGACTGTCCCTGGCACAGAGTGGGCACACAACGATATGTGCTAAGTGGCCTTTCGGTCCCCCTGTGGACCCATCATCCGTCTACACTACAGGCTGGAAGGCCAAGGGGAGACGGTTCCACTGATGGATTTGCCCATGATGGGCAGGTTTTCACCCAGAAGCGGATGAGGGCTCCCGAGTTTGGCCGGGACAGAGTTGGACGGACACCTTCTGAGCCAGTGGAAGAAAACGCTAAGGCTGGACATCACTTGAGGCTTCACTCCCCACCCTGCCCCACCCCAGTGAACATGGACAATACCCACTGTCGTCTCCCCAGGGCCGCAGGTGGCTGCAGACAGCAGGAAGGGATGGCCTCGCAGTCCCGGAGGCTGGGATCAAGGTGTCGGCAGGTGGGATCCTTGTGAGGCCATGCCAGACCCCTCCCCGTGCTGCTGGGGGTTTCTGGGGTTCTTTGCTTGGCTTGTAGCTGCACCCCCTCAATGCTGGCCGTCTCCCTGTGTCTGCTTCCTTACGTGACCTCGTTGTTATGGGGACACTGTCATAGAGGATCGGGGCCCACCCTCACGACCTCATTTTAACCCAGTTACCTCTGTAAAGGCCCTATTTCCAAATATAGTCATGTTTTAGGTCCTGGGAGGTAGGATTCCAACACGTCTTTTTTGGGGGACACACGGTTTAGTCCATAACGCTGCCCGGGTATTTCTTCGTCATCCCTGGATCATGGGGGTCCAGAGCGAAGGATGCTGCGATGTCTTGGAGAGCAATGAGGTACAGGCAAGGATCCTGCAGCCCCGAGGGCCTTTTTTTTGGGTCTTTTTGTCAAGCGACTGGATACAGTTTGTGGGGGGAGGGGAACCCAGATTCTAGGCACGGTGGGCCAGCGCTTAATTTTTTTTATTGCAATCCACACTAATACGCACATTCTATATCACACGCCAGCAGAGGCTGGTTATATATATAGGATAGAGCGTGCTCACAAAGCAATCCGTACTCTGACTGTGATTGACACCTTCTGGATTTTTCTATCCTCTATGATTTTACTCCATTTCCCTTTTATAAAAGGCTCCTTGGCGCTCATGGTATCGATTTCAGGACTCATGGGTGGCATCTACGCAAGAGTTTGAAAAACACGCTCGAGTTGGTCTCCTGATGACCGGCTCTGGAGGCTGTGCTCCCCACCCCCAGGAGTGCAAACTGCTTCAGACGGTGCCAGGCCAAGGCCAGGGGCACCGGGCTTTGGTTAGTTTCATGTGGGAACGGCGAGAATTGGCCCCATCATGAGAATAAACTGCAAGATTCAGAGTCATCGTGAAACTCTTGTGACACTTACACCCGCCGCCCCCCCCCCCCCCCCCCCAGGCTCCTGTCTTCAAGGCCACATTTGTGTGGACACAGCTGGCTAAAATTCATCTCCCCACCCCCACCCCCACCCCCAGCCAGGCGAGGCTCAAGGTCTCAAATAGACACTGGAAGACAGCGGGAGGGAGCCATCCCTTGGGCGTTTCAAGGCAGGTTTTAATCGTTTTCAATACCTTTCCCAAATATTCACACCAAGGTCAACAGGGTTCTACATGGCATCCACGTTTTCCATTTATTCGGCATCTCAATGTGCACAGCACATACAGCAGATACGGGTCGGCACCTGTATAAAACTACAGATTCTGAGGACAGCGGGAACACCAACCCTCCACTGCCAGTCACAGCAATAGAAACGCTTTACAGTGTCCCAAGTTCCCGTCGCGTCTCTCTCCACTCCACGCGTGACTGGCGACAGGCTGGGTACGCACACGTGGTCCAGGACGGCCGCATTCTGCACTTAAGACATCTTAATTCCTGACAATGACTGCGCTCTGAGACAAGACGCGGCGCAATCATTTAAGGCATCTAAGACCATGATGGTTTGTTACTGTGTGAACACACGGAATACAGAACGTCCACAACTGCCACCCCCGCCCCCCGCAGTCAGCACGGAGATTTCTGAGCATCTTTCCTGAAGGCTCCCGGAGTCTAGGGCACGGTTTCAAACAAGATTTAAAAAAACGAACATTTTTATTCCATCGTATGAACAGCGGTTTAAGAGGTCTGGTCCAGCGTTGGGGCCTTGCAGTGGCTTCCTTCTTCCAGGCCTCAGATTAAGAATAGCATTTTAAGAAGATGATTTGCATGCGAACAAAGAGTTGTAAAAAGGAATGTGAAAGACAAAACTCCAATCAGCTTTTTCCCCCCCATCTTGCTGTCTGTGGACTCCCGTAAAGTTAATTTGGGAGCCGGTTCAGAAGCCTCCTCGAAGAGCATTAAAGTCTCGAGAAAACATGTGGAGTATTTCTGGTAGCGAGCTAAGGTCATTTTGTATAAACTCGAAAAAGTCATTCATTAAAATTAAATGCTTGCCATCAACTCGGGACTTTTTTTAACCATCCTCGACCCTGCCTCTTCCATCTCTGCTTCCACGACAGGGGTTACATTCGTAAAATATATAAAGAAAAATATAAGGTTACTTGGTGACCATATAGCGCACGCTAACAGCTGTCTGCAAATATTTTCACCATGATTGTCCTTACTAAAAGTAAATCGCGGGGTAAAGATAGCTCAAACGTGACAAGGTTCGAATGGGACGCACCGCCGCTCGCTGCAATCCTTTTTGGCTACATATGGAAAAAAAAAAAAGCCACTCGGGATGGCAAACCCCTGCACCCAGTGTGGGCTTTCTGCAGATTCCACCAGATGAGTGGTTTAAGGGCTTTCGAGGTAGATGTTAAATCCACTTAGGGAATGCCATGGACGGCCCACAGCATCTTCCTCCCAGCAAACACCACGCTAAGTGTTTCTGCACAATTACAAGGGCATTTCACCTAAAATTAACAGCGAGTTCTAGCCCAAAGCTCCCCAAGCACAAGGAAGCATATTTTTTTAAAAAATAAATATTCGATTACTTAGCAGAAGGCTCTGCTCTCACACACTGTATTTCCTCTCGAGCGTTTGGGGCGTGGTTGCAAATACACCCATCTTGCCCATTTCCAGCCTTCCAACCAGACAGCGATTCCTTTCGGTCGGATTTACAAAATTGCTTCATTTTTGCCTTTTTCCCCCAACGGCCACAGAGAAGCACGGGCTGTGGCGGGTCCAAAAAAGGAAAACAGGAGTTTATGAAGTTGTCTAAGGGTCTCCCCCATCTGGTAGATGGAGGAAGATTGACTACAGGAAAGTTCAAAGGTCAGTCTTGACAGATCTAAAAACAGAGAGGCAGCAGGGACTGACAGCACACTTTCTGGCCCCGAAGTAAACTGATATGTCCCGATTCATAGCAACCGGGCACAAAGAGTGGGGCGCTGGACGGTGCTCGGAGAGGGGCCGAGACTGGGAGCTCCCTTTTGCCGGCTTCCAAGGCCCCAGGAACGTCTTTCCAGCCACAAGGATGCTCACCCCCACACTACGGGGGACGGTGCAAAGCCAGGTTGATCTCAAGAGTCTGACGTCCCCGATTTTAAAACACAAAATAGCAGCACACCGTGACAACATCTGACACGTCACATAAATCCAGTGGAAGCATCTCCACTGTTTTCGGAGAAAAATCAGGATTTGGGCTGTCTTTTTTTTTTTTTTTTTCCAGAAAAATACAAAACGCACCCACAGAACCATAAATAATTTGGTGGCAATATATACACATTTAAATAATTAATTTAAATATCTTACACCGATGCTGGCATCCAACCGTCCTTCGGAAGAAAGTACACCCGGGCGGGCCTTGGTGTTCCAGCTCCTGGGGGCTTCCCGAGGCAGAGGCAGGGCTCTGGGAGGTCACAGCCTGGGGAGGAAGTGGGTGACCTTCATGGTGGGTGACACTCGGTTCCCCTTCTTGGGCTTCCCGTTCTTGCTCAGGGCGATGAACATGCCGGGGTGCTGGTGGCACTCATAGGCATTGTAGTTGTTGGCGAGGAGAGTCTCCTTGAACTTGCACTCGTCGGTGAAGAAAGGCTGCCAGGGAAGGGGAGCAGGGTCAGGTTGGGCCACCTCCTGACCAAGGGACCTGGGGGCTGCTTTCTGTCCCTGCTGCCCTCTGCCTGAGCAGTCTCTCCTGGGAAGTTGGGGTGCCCATACCCTCACCCGGTGAGAAGAGGGAGACGGCCAGCCCATAGCAGCTGGTGCTCCAGCCACCTGCCCGGCACCTGGCAGCCACAGTGTCCACCTGCCCCCTGGGACCCACCCCAGAGGCTACAGAGAAGGGCCCTCAAGGGCACCCTTGGACCAACATGCAGGGATGACAGAAACTTCATTGCTCCTGTCTTGGAGCAGCGCCCCCTTCTCCGGGCTGGCCTGGGGTCACCGGCACTACCTTGGGCATTTGGCAGGTGGGGGCAGTGTGCATCCTCCTGTGACCCCTTCACAGTTCCACCTTCCACGTGGGCCACACTGCCTGTGCCCGCAGCCGGGTGTTGGGCACTGCCCGTGCTGTACTCACCGAGCCGTACAGCTTGCCCTTGCTGCTCATGGCCACGAAGAACCTGCTGGCCACGCCGAAGATGCTCACCACGCCCCGCTCCACCGGCGAGAGCTCCAGCAGGCCTGGGGGCGGGGCGCGCGGGTCATTCCCGGGCAGGGGACCCTTGGCCCGCACCGCCCGGCCCGGACCCCCTCGTCGGCCTGGGAACCTCCGGAACCCCATTTCTGGGGTGCGGGTGGGTGTAAAGGTTGCCCAGGATCCCCGGCGCAGGCCGCACCCAAGGGGCCCCCGGAGTGCAGCGCGCGCGGGCGCGGACTCGCCGCCTGTCCCGGGCCCGTGGCGGCCGCGCCCAGTCCTGGACAGCAGGAGCTAGGCGGCTGCGGTGGCCCCGGGGCCTGGCCCCGACCTGGGCGTGCGTCCCGGGCCCCCGCGGGTGCCGGCGGCTGCGCCGCGCGCCCTGTGCCCACGAGCGAAGGCGCTGGAATTCTGTGCCCCGAGCCTGGGCTTCCGAAGGCGGGGAGGCGGGACTCGGCCGCCGGGGTGCGCAAAGCCGGTCCCTGCGGCGACTCCCGGAGCCTGGAGCGTTTGCGTTCCTGAGCCAGAGGGACCGGACCCGAGACAGCCCTGGCTCTCACTGCCTGCGAGCAGGTGCCAGTGGGAAGGAGCGGCCGGTGCCCCGGGCCCCCGACCCTTCCCTCCCGGCCCTCCGCACTCACTGTCGCTCGTGTCCGCGTGCACGCCCCCGATGCGGCCGTCGGGGAGCACCTGGAGGTGGAAGCCGATGCCCACATTGCAATAGAGCCGCCGCAGCCGCTTGATGCCCAGCAGGTAGTCCCCGGCGCCGCTCTGGACGGCCGCCTCCTTGGGCTGCGCGGCCACGGGCAGGCGCGCCAGCGAGCGCGCCACCAGGCTCTCCCAGCGGCGCTCCAGCTCGGCCTCCAGCGTGCCGTTGGGTGCGGTGGGCGCGGCGGCGCCCCCTCGGCCGGCCCAGGGCGCCAGCAGGGCCAGCAGGACCGCCGGGAGCAGCGCCGCCGCGGCCGCCCCGGGCCCCGCCATCCCCGCCCTCGGGCCGTGCGTCCGTCAGTAGGTCCGTGCGCCCGGGAAGCCGGGGGTGCCGAGCTGCGCCTGTGGCGGCCCGCGGGAGCGCACGGCCGGCCGGGGCCGGGGCCGGGGCAGGGAGTACGCGGCCGACCGAGGAGCGGGAGGCGAGCCACGGGGCCCCCAGGCGCGGGGAGCTACCCGGGCTGCATGGAGCGGCGGGCAGCGGCGGAAGGACGCACGGCCCGGGCTGGGACCCTGCGGAGCGGTGCGCGCCTCCCTGCGCGCTGGCCGGCCCGGGGCCGGGCCGCTATATATAGCCGGGCGCCCCCTCCTACTCCCGCGGGGGGCCGTTCGCGTTCGCCTGGGCGCCCGGGGCGCTGTGGCGCTCGCGGCTGGTCGCAGGCCGCCTGCCAATCAGGGCTGGGGGAGGGGAGGCGGCCGGGGACGAGCGCCGCGAGTGCCACCTGGAGGGTCCTCGGTCCCCACCCCTGGTTTCGCCCAGCCCACGGACCTGTTGGTCCCGCCCCTCGCGTCTCCTCCGGTCCTGCCTTCCAGTCAAAGTTTTGCCTCTCGGACTTCGTCTGTGCCCATCCTGTCTCTGTCCTCCTCTCCGCCTCTGCTGGAGCGGCCTGGGTGCCGCCCTAACAGGCACCCTCGGCTCCCAGCGGCCTCTCTTTGCGCTTTGCCTCTCGGGGGTCTCCCAGGAACCCGGCTCCTTTGCGGGGACCGTGCGGACCCGGCTGGGAATGAGGGGTGGGTAAGGGCACTAAGCAACACCAGTGCCTGGTGAGGAAGGAAGAACCGAGCGGCTGCAGGCTGGAGAGAGAGGCAAGGCTGGGTTGGGCCCCTGCCCTCTGGGCGATTGGCGGGGGGGGAGGGGGCATCGCCTGAGCAGGTGCCTCCAGGTGGGCGCTGCTAAGAGGAGGCAGGCGGCCAGGAGTAGGGCTGCATCCAGGGGAGGCCACAGCCCTGCACCCCTGTCCACACCCACCTCTATGCAAGGACAGGTGGCAGGGCGCAGGGCCATGGGGACGTTCACTGCCCTCCTCCGCTTTGATTCCCAAGCAGAACTGTTCAAATGCCATAGTCAGAGCCCCCAACCTAGCAGGGACCCAGGCTGGCCTCTGGAAGGCTCCCCTCCCCCACCTGCTGTCCCCACCCCCCACTGTGCCCATTATGGCCTGATGGGGGCGGGACTCCGCCAGAGGCCCAGCGAGATGCTGGCTCACCTAGGTGTGAAAATGCCTGTTCTCTGTGGTACCTGGGGATCCTTGCAGTCACCTCCTAGCAGGTCCCGCCCAGCCACAGCTGCAGGGGGCTTGGAGCCCACCCCACCCCCTTCTGACCCCAGCACCTGTGTCCAGAGACATCCTCAGGCCGTTCCAGCCTACCCCGCCTCCCACCCCATTCCCGCCTGAGGAGCCTTGGGCCGACCTCTGAAGGCTGCTGGGACTCATTCACCCCATTGGAGGGGACCTGGAGGTTTGAGGGCTCTGTCTCGAGGCCCAGAAAGAGGGGGCGGTCAGGGGTCAGTGAGCGGCCTTGGCTGCACCAGAACTCGGTCTCCGGACACCTCCATGAGGCTCTTTGCTCCCCTCTGGGCCTGCAGCCTGCCGGAGCAGCACCCACCTAGGTCACAGCTGCAGCTCACACCTGCAAGGGGCTGCCTGGCAGCTCCCGGGACCCCAGGCCCCCCGAGATGGGCCTGTGGGTCTGGTGCCAAGAAGACACTTCTGGCCAGGGCACAGGAGCCCTGGAACCTGCCCCAACACTGCCCCTCGCTCTGTGTGGCCTTGGCAAACCCTCTCCATCTCTGGGCCTCTGACTCCCCATTTGCAAAACAGCAGGGAGGGTGGGTTCCCCTCCGTCCGTCAGTCCAGGTCGACGTGGGACCCTCCTCTGGGGAGGTGGGACCCAGGCCCTCTGATGTCTTCCCCAAGCTCCTGGCAAGGTAGGGCCCCCCTCTTCCCAGGACCCTCTCCCCCCCTGCCCCCCAGCCCCAGGCAGCTCCCTTCCTGTCTCTCCAATTTGCTGGCAAGTTCAGCGAAGGCCCCTGGTGCCAGTTCATCTCCCAGAACTCCTGGCCTACCCACACACAGTAGGTCCTCTTCGTGGAAGGACTGATAGCCAGCGGGGTGTTTGGAACCTGAGGCCTGGTTCCCGCTTCACCAGGACTTGCCTCTGCGGCCCCGGCCTCCTCGAGGTGAGGGTTCCTCCAGGGGTTGCAGGTGGAGGACCCCACATGAAGCACTTGCTTTGCTCTCCACCGCCCCCTCCTCGCCCCTCGTCTCCCACACGCTCCCCCTCGGCCGCTCCAGCCACACTGGGCTTCTGTCCACGTCTCCGACCTTCTCACCGGAAGACGATGATTGCTCCCCATTCAGGTCTCCCCGCCAATCACAGCCACTCGGAGGCCTTCCCCGCGCACCCACCACCGAGGCAGCCTCCTCCCACCGGTCCCTCCGGTTGCAGCCTCTTCAGAGCCCTCACGGAAGCTTCTCCGTCACCTGCTGGCCCTTCCCTCCACTGGACCAGCACCTGCATGGGGCCAGCTCAGGTGTGCCTTGGCCCCAGCTGCCTCCCCAGGCCTTCAACCGTGCCTGGCACACAGTAGGTAGTCACAAGGTGTCTGTGAGGCAATGGCTGCCTGGCTAAGTGCAGCCAGGGCTCGTCTACCTGGAGACCCTCCAGTTCAAGGTGCGGGCCCACCCCCCGCCATGCCGGGGACGAACAGCAGGTGCCTGCCAAGACCTTAGGGTCAAGCTGCCAGCTCTCCCACCGGAAGCCCCACGCTGGTGGCTGCTGTCGGTTTCTTTTTATTTGAAAGGGATGGTTAGACCACGGTGACTAATTTTTCCAGATCCAGCCCCCTTGAGGACTTGAAATGGGCCCTGCTGCACCTTGGGGAGCCCTGTTGACCACAAAGCTGGGGGCTAGGAAGCCGGGGGACCGTGGGGCGGAGGCTCTGGGCTCTGTGCTCTCCTGCTTTGGGTTCAAATCCAGGCACCATCCTCCTAGCGGCTTAACTTTCGGCTTCTTCATTTCGCATCGTGTTCAGTTTCTCCATCTATAAAATGGGCGTAAAAACCTACCTTCGGGGCTTGATGTCAACCTTAAGGAGACAGTGCAGGCTGTGGGAAAAGCCTGAATGTGGCCCTTCAGCCTGCGGGCCCCCTGGGGGTGGTGGAGACGGGGCCTGGCCACCTAAATGCTCGGAATTTGTGAAATAACAAACCCACGTATTTATCCTCTGGGAGGCTCCCCTTGCATCTTCCGCTGGTGGCGGCGGGGCGGGGTGTGACCGAGCAGAGACGTGGGAGTGGAGACGGGACAAAGGCTCAGAGCTGAAACCGGCCAGCCCGGCCCACGGCCTTCCTAACCGTGACCTTTTCTAACCTAAAGCTTCTCCGTGTCTTACCTTCGGGCGACGGTTTCTTCACCCGGGAAGGAGGGACTGGCTTCTCAGAACAACCAGCCCCGCTGTTAAGAACTTACTGGGCTTCATAGGAATAATAATAAAAGACGTGTTGCATGAAAATTCAGTTCTCGTCCTCAGGGCGGAACGTCGGAGCGCAGCCCGGGGCAGGGGCCCAGGCTGCAGGATCTTTGCAAATCCTTCAGCTCTGCCTTCGATTCAACTTCCCTTTCTCGGCCTCAGCGAGAAGACCCTCACAATAGCGTCTTTCTGCCAAAGTCAAGGAGAAGGGCAAAGCCCTCGGTATAGACGGTCTACACTGAGCCAAAGCACTCCAGGAAACGAGGACACCTTTTTTTTTTTATAAAGAATATCCAGAGAGGGGGATATTCAGCCAATCTTTTGTAGCTTTTTAAAATTGTGGTCAAATACAGATAACGTCAAATTTAGCATCTGACTGTTTCTAAGGGCACAGCTCAGCGGCGTGACGCGCGTTCACGTCGTTGTGCCACCCTCGCCGCCACCCGTCCCCAGAATTTCATCTTCCCAAACGGAAGCTCTGTGCCCGTTAGACACCAATTCACCCTTCTCCTTTCCGTCCCCGTGAATCTGACGACTCCAGGAACTTCACAGAAATGGAATCACATAATATTTCTCCTTTCGTGTCTGGCTTCTTTCGCTCAGCATCGTGTCCTCAAGGTTATTCCGTGCTGTGGTGCGTGTCACCATTTCCTTCCTCTTTAAGGCTGGATAATATTCCACCGTGTGGATGGACACACCATGTGTTGCTTGTCCGTTCCTCTGTCGGTGGGCTCTCGGGTGGCCTCCACCTCCTGGCTGCTGTGGACGTGCTGCTGTGAGCACAGTGGGCAAATCTCTTAGAGACCTGCTTTCGGGTCTTTGGGGGGTGGACTCGGCGGTGGCCTTGCAGGACCATATGGCAATCCTATGTTTAATTTTTTGAGGACCCTCCATACTGTTTTCCACAGCTTTCTTTTTTTTTTTTGAGGAAGATTAGCCCTGAGCTAACTACTGCCAATCCTCCTCTTTTTTTGCTAAGGAAGACTGGCCCTGAGCTAACGTCTGCTGCCAATCCTCCTCTTTTTTTGCTAAGGAAGACTGGCCCTGAGCTAACATCTGTGCCCATCTTCCTCTACTTTATATGTGGGACGCCTACCACACCATGGCTTGCCAAGCGATGCCATGTCTGCACCCGGGATCCGAACCGGCAAACCCCGGGCCACTGAAGCAGAACGTGCAAACTTAACCACTGCGCCACCGGGCCGGCCCCCACAGCTTTCTTTTTTTAAGTCACCTTGATCATGGAGCATCAAGGACACGGGACAGCAGGTCGGTCTTGGCTCACAGAGGCATCTTGGGTGGACAAAAGCTTGTGCAGAAGTGGCTCCGTGCCCACTTGATCGGCCCCTCTCTTCTTATCCTTCTGGCTTCTCCTTTACCGCGAAGTTGACCCCGCAGGTCTGAGCGACAGCTGCACCGGCAGTTTTTACAGCTGCAGATCAGTAAAGCAGTCCACCGGGCAGCTGCCCAGGCGGGCGGATCTTTGCACATCCCAGACACCAAGGCTGGGAGAATCCCA